GATTTGTGAATTGTTATTTGAGAATTTAGGGTTTTAGCCTTTTATGAAATTAGGGATAAGTGAAAAAAATTAATGGTGAAGATGCTCATAATTTTGAATTTATTTGTGTATTGTGAATTGTGATTTGGGAATTTAGGGTTTTAGGAAATTAGGGATAAGTGAAAAATTTCAGCTATTACGATGGTTGATTGTCAACGGTCAATCGTCTCCGCTCTAACTGAACCAAAATGCTGGATTCATCCCCGGGAACCTGTCAACTTAGAAAGCCACAAGTTGTTAACCCCTGGGTCAACGATAGCTGATTGTCGACGTTGACTGGTCAACGTCCGCGCTGGCTGGACTTCGATGCTGGATCCGCCACTGCACACGACCACATGATATTGGTGTCGAATACATTTATCCCAAAATTAATAGGCTAACTTTAATAGCATCTACGAAAGAGTGAAGGAAAATGTGTACACTAACAGCTCCACTTCACACTATCATTTTTTGTATTCTAGTAACGAGTTGATCATATATCTAATTTATAATATAAACAAATCATTACAAGTAAAATAAGATTAATGTTAAGGGAACAAGTTGAAGTGGCAGAGACAATCAAGAAAAAGCAATAGAATTAGTTTGAAAATTGTGCGTTGGAGGGAGAGGAAGATGGACTTTTTTGTGTGGCTACGATCAACGTATTTTATTTTTTTAAACTCTGTCCATGTTACCTTCACAACTCTCCACATGGAGTTGAGTAATTCAATTCGAACAATGTTATCTAAGTAGTCATACTTGATATGTTCAATTAAATGAATAACGTGACATTGTATTTAAGTGAACTATCATTTAATACTATGAAGTTGCCTGCTAAACTGGTGCTTAACATCAATGATGCTGAATAACATTATTAATTCAATTCACATTTATACTTCTAATATTTTGCACCAAACTATCTAAGTAAATGTACACCTTCTAAGGTCCAATTTTAGGGGCTGTTTATCATGATCTTTGAAAATTTAAAATGAGTTTTTGAGATTTAAAAGCAACTTTTGGACATATTTGACTAATTTTATGAAAGTATTTCTTCTAATTAGCAGAGCTTCTAGAGGAAATTGAACAAATGTGACTTTCTCTAAAAGTACTTCTGAAATAGGATGTGCTTTTAAAAATTAATTTTTAAATAAAATTTAAAGTAACTTCCTCCAAAAGTTCTTTTATAGGAAGCAAAAGCTATGCCGGACGAACTCTTAAATTGTTTTACTTGTACTTATAGTTTTTCAAAAATAGCATTTTAGGACAAATATTACATGAAAATTCTTCATATTGGCCTTGTTATCCAATTTACACCTCTATATAGACTAATTCCTAATAGCCTAGAGAGCATTGTTCTTGAATATTT